TTCTTTTCGTTCTCTTTTCTCTCGTTTTCTGAAATAGACGATATGAACATTTTTATTTCACATTTCGACTGAAAACCAGGAAAGAAAACTATAATAATAATTTCACACAGTCACCAAAATAGATCAAAATTTACCAGCGTAGTACCAGAGTGGTCGGGCCTATAGACTATTGACCCGAAGGTACCAGGTTCGATTCCCCGACCCAGCCATTTAATGTAAATCAAATCCAAACACCGAGCTGGAAAAATTCGACTAGAAAGAAGGAGAGGAGGAGGAAGAAGGGAGGGTAGGGTATAGGAATGTGTGTGGAGGCGGCACTATTCAAAGTACTAAGTAGCAGCAAATTAAAAAATAAGGAATTAAAATTATATAAAAAGACTGAACAAAAAATTAAGTATTTGAGAATGTCAAATAAATGTTTACAAATCTGATATAAATTTCAAACAAATATTGAAAAAATATATTTCTTAAATATCTGATTTAAAGCCCAAGTAAATATTTTAAAAATATATTTCCTAAATATCTGATTTAAATGTCAAATGTAATCAAATATTTCTTAAATATATAAAAATCTGTCGCGTCAGACCTACAACAAATTTACCAATATTTAATTTCGGAATGGTAATCCTTTACAATACGATCTGGTACTAGGATTGTCGTTTTACCGATTGAGACTCAAGACTCAGACTCAAATTCACTTATTTCCAAAACAAAACAACGGTCGCCATGATGGTTCAGCTCTTTGCGTCGGCGTGTCAGTCGAAATTGTACGCGTAGTTGCCAGTACTATATTAGCACTTTTTTAACATTACCCCTTTTTTCCTTTTCATGTACACAAATCATTTAATATACTTAACTATTTAATATAAAATACATAGTAATTAGTAATACCCAGATGATATATTTTCACTACTTTTCCGATTTTCATCATAATTCCCATTAACCGATTAATAACGCACACGCATTCATGACATCCATGGAGAAATCAAAGCTGAAAATACTTTATTTTATTTTCTTTGCATGCATACACAATTAATTTGATATTTCAAACGGCTGGCTTCAATCAGCTGGGTCCCGGCTTATCAGTTTCGTCTACTACTTACTGTATGGACGTAATGCTGCTAAGTTTTCAACCTTGAATGAATTACTTTTTTGTTTTCATTGAAATTTTCTACTTTGGTGGCAGTTCGGCAACATGGCTGACCAGCATGCAATTTTTGGCTATTCTTATTTATTATAACTTATGATTCGTGATATGTCTTACGGACGAACATCCGTTTTTCTTTTTTAACTTTTCGCCCTTGTATCGAAAACTGCTTATGTGCGTTTAGTACCTTCACGATATGACGATTAATAATTTTAAACAAATAGCTAATTCCAGTGAAGCGTAAAGCCTTGACTCAATTGATGGGACACCCTGTACATTCCGCTGCAAAGATGCTTGGTCAAATATTTCATATGTGGTTGATTCGACTCATCTATATGCTTGATCAAATATTCAAAATAAACCGGTCACTTATAGGTAGTTGGGAGTTGAATCATTATTATTTTTTAATTAATTGTTTCCGATAGACAATGCTCACTGCACTTGAGTAATGTTTCTGAATATAGGGACATCTATTTTGGTTTTTTGAAAATTTCTTTTAAATTGAAAGACTCATCTGACGATTTGAACAAATAGATACTTTTTATGAGACTATGTTATTACTTACTAAAAAAGAAAATCAAATGAAAATATTTCCTCAAATTCAAGTTTAAACGTATACCTATTTTAGTAATTTACATGCCACATGTGGTTCCAAGAATTGATTACGAAGTATAAGCACAGATAAGTTTGTTGCATTTTGGTGTTTATCTAAACTGGAACCCGAACAAATTAAACACTTATCACGTTTGATTTTCGGAATGTGTCTACGGCGTACAGATTCTTAATAGCCAGGGTCGGGGTAAGCCGTTTATTCCTTATTAATTGGTTAATTTAAACAAAAATATGAAACCCCCAAACATCGGTGTTTTCGCTGTATGTGCGGATTAAGTAAATAATCTTAAAAAAACTAACTTCTAGGTATTTAACAACTCAATTGCAATAAAAATATCATCATAAGTGAAGAATAACTGTGAATTATGAAATAGAACGCTTAAATTTTAAGGCCTTAAGAGGAGAAAAAATAAATAAAAAAAAATGAAATCGATGGGCAAATTAATATAAAATGCATTATTTGTTGTAATAACGCTAAACTTTTAGAAAGTTAGTTTTTTTTAACAAAAAATGAACTACTTCGTTATGCAGGTCACAAGTGTTTTTCTTGCTTTGTTTGCAAACACCATTGGTAAATACATTTTGCTGCATTTTACTTCTTATCTAAGGTTTTATTTAAATTTAAGATGAAAATACAGTTTTGATTTGGACATAATTAATTGCTTCTACCTAAATAATGTTTTGCATGTATATTGCAGTGCTCGGAATTTTTAAAAATCTGAAATTCGCATACTCGTTTAGTGGTTTATTCGAATACTCCAATATCTAACAACTATTCGAATAACCGAGTATTCGAATAATCGAGTATCTGAATACTCGAGTATTCGAATATTCGAGTATTTGAATATTTGAGTATTCGTTTTCTGTTCACCGTTTTCCAAGAATAAAAATCGTTTTCATTATTTTTGGCAACTAGCCGCAATGGATGGCGGTTATAGTTTTTCCATTTGACAGCGATTTTTAACACAATTTCAGGAGCTAACTTAAAAAAGTGTCTACCCATTAATTGTAACACCGCGCAAAAGTACACGTCATGTTTATTCATTTGCAGGGGGGTAATGATTGATTTTCATTTGCTTGTAAATATTTGGGTATTTGTTTAAATGCTTGTAGAATATGAATAATTTATTTTATGAAAGTATACAAAGTGCATATAAAGATATTTGCACTTTCTCAGTTTGATAATGTTGGTGTATTCGCGTATTCGAGTATTCAATTATTCGAGTATTCGAATATTCGAGTATTCTAATATCCGAGTTTTGACTAAACATAATTACTCGCTTTTTGAATATTCGAATACTCGCATTCTCCAATTATTCGAGTTTGATTCCCAGCCCTAAAAAAATACCTTTAGCTCTTAAAAGAGTAGTGTTAAATAGTGAAAGAGGCAGAACAAAATTAAACAAAAAGTATTAGTAAACATGAATCCGTGATGTTTTCGGGGATATGAAAGGTTTTTTCTTGCTATTTTTATTTCGGGCAAACTTTCTCATTGATAGTTTGCTATTTTGTGAAATGGGGTTTTGCTAAATATTGTATAGTCAATTGAAAGGATTCTGATTATCACAGAGAATTACATTATTATAAAAGCTCATGTTATTGGTGTGTGCATACAGGTTTATGAACCTTTATTATAATAAATAATGTCCGCTATTTTTGATTCATCATTTGAATTATTTTAGGAAGGCAAGGGAATGCTCAGCATGTTCCAAGCGAACAGTTCCAAGCGGACGGCAAAGAACAATTTAGATCTAAGCCTGAACGTGTCATGGGTTTTAAATTTGTTAAGACACTTGTGGATAACGAGGATTTGCAACACGTAATTTTAACCGTTTCTAATGACCGAAATGGTTTTCTGACACTTCTAGAAAACAAAAATATAACCAATGATACGCTTGTCTTATTGGTCAAGCTTTTATGGCACATATCCGAGTGCTCTTTTCATCAAAGTAAGATTGCTATATATTATTTGGTATTGAAAAGCCGATTTATTGATCAAGTAAAATTGTATATTGGGGATATAATCAACCAGGTAAGTCTTAATTTAATAAAATGTTAATTTTTTGGATCATACGGATGGTTTTTAGAGGCTATGCGATAAAAAACGTAATACATGCTTTTGGAACAACCCCGACGACTTTTGGAAACATCTCATATGTTTCGCAAGAATGGTTCTGGAGTTGATTCCCACGGGACATTGTGGAATAATTCACGGACTCTTAAAACATATGACTATTTTCTTCCCATTGATCGAGTCAACTCATTCAATATCAATTACTCGTGAAATTAAAGATCAAACAGCGCATTTATTAACGGTGGTGGAGAAAACCATCGAAGACATAGCTGCTCAAAAGAAAATTGTTGCATCTAAAGACTTGGATCAAGCTATGGCAGAGCCTCCTGATGATTTCAGACAAATTGAAATAATTCCTTGTGCTCAAGAAATTCTGTCTGATGAATCACCGTTTCTGCGACCGAACATTATTGATAGGCCTTTCAGTGACATTAATCAGTATCTCGATATTCAGTTCAGGTATGTATCTAAATTTATCCTATACACATTAGATTTTGAATTTTGAAGTGTTAATTCCGAAACTTAAAAAATGCACATTAAGAAATTACAAAGCAGTATGCAGGGTGTCATAAATAGATTTAAAAAAGTCAATAGTAATCATCATTATCTATTATCTGATGATATTCTTGCGACGTGGCCAGTCCAGTTTCATTTCAAGTACGTGACTGGAAATAATTAGTAGATTGATATTAAAACTGTTTATAATTGGAAATATACACAAGGTTCAGGTAAATCCAGCTCAGTTGGA